GATTTACCTCCTTTTCCATGTCCATGCCAGAGATAATTTTTCAAGTTTCACAGTAAAAGCACAACACCTCAACATTATGTAGGCTGGTGTTAACTGCTTCTACAACTTCCATTTCTTACCCCATGTTAGGCCCACAGTTAGGAAGACCACCATCAAACCGGAAATGCAAAAACAGTACTATGGATCAGAATGGATGAAGGAAACACTGCTTACCCTGAAGAAAGAAGATCAGAAAATAGACAAAGCACAGAGATGAGTCCTGGAGAAGGTGACCTGAATTACAGCAGTTCATGGGGCAGTACCCCCAGAGGGTCGCCCTCCAAGTACATAATTAGTGCCAGGCCTGAGAAAAGAAAGACTGTTACTAAGTTAATGCAGTTAAGGGGACGGGGGGAATTGGGTGATCAGTGCACAGAGTAGTACATTTTCTTTCTTAATATAGAAGGGGCAATGGTGGAAGAAGCAGACTTTCCTCACCCACAGCCAAGTCCTGGCGAAAATCAAGAGAAGCCACTGTAGATATCAACTCAGAAGATCACTGCTGCTTTGGTAGAGTGGTAAGGCCTGAACAGTGCAGACAGCTTACAAGGAAAAGCAGTTTTTCTTTAGGTGAAGAACAAATGTTTTTTCCCCCTCCCATCTTTCCCCCCATCCTATCCACCCCAAATAATTTATGGCCATTCAACTCCAACTAACCAAATGTGGCTATGCTTTGTGTGGCTGAATGTATACGTGGAATATTATTCCCATTATGCAACATATCATACATAAAAATTAAACAAAATACAAAAATATGAGGGCTACTCCAAAAGTAATGCCTCCAATTGGATTATGTTGGCCCACATGTTGGAGGCAGATGGTGGTATGGCAGTAGAGGCTGAAGCTTTCACCAATTTTCCATTACATTTTGTCACCAGGCAGCAGAGGCAAGTCTGGCAAAATGGCATCTGACACGGAAATGCATATGAAGCAAAGGGGTGTCACTGAATTCCTCCAGGGAGAAAAAATAATACCCACTGACATTCACTGACACTTGCTGAATGTTTAAGGAGACCAAACAGTGGATGTGAGCACAGAGAGGTGGTAGGTGGTATGTCCCAGCAGTGGCAACAGCCACAGTCTAGACAGCCATGCACAGCTGTGACACCAGGAAATGAAGAGCATTTTGCTTGGCTCATCCATGCAAATCAGCAGGTTACAACCAAGGAACTGTGTAAGAAGCTGAATATTAGCTTCAATACACTGGAAATAATGGTGACAGAGTTGAAATACTGCCAAGTTTGGACCAGGTGGTTCCCACGAATGCTGACACAGGAACAGAAATAATACTGTATGCAAGTCTCTCAGGACCTATTTAACCAATACGAGACTGAAAGTGACAGTTTCCAGGACTGGCATCATTACTGGTGACAAGAAGTAGTATTCCCGCTGCAAGCTACAGTGAAAACAGCAGCCCATACAGTAATGCAGTGGCTTTCCAGGGAATGAATTTCCCACTCAAGAAAAGGTTCAAGATGAAGTCCTCAGCAGACAAAGTGATGTGCACTATCCTTTGGGATAGGAAGGGGCCATCCTTCTTGATTTCCTGGAACCTGGACAAACCAGTAACTCTGACACACTGACTAAGCTGAAGGCTCAAAATTCCACAGAAGAAGATACGATCATGCTAGGCCCATATTGGTATGAAGACCATGGAGCACACTGCTAGTCTTGACTAGACTGCCCTAACATATACTCAGTGGATGGTCCTGATTTGGCACCTTCTGATTTCCATCTGTTTGGGACAATGAAAGTTGGACTGTATAAGCAACTATATTGAAAAAATACGTTTTGTAGCTGAGAATTTGTGCTATCAAATAGTGTTGTGCTCTTTCAATCTGTTGTAGTTTCCACAGAAAGAAATAGGAGGCATTACTTTTAGAGTGACCTACATAGATGAAAGATGAACAATATGAACTAAGGTGAACTAAGATCTAAATTGTTAATATTTACACTAAAATATCCTAGAAGCTACATATATAATAGTGTACTGGAAACTCTGTTCTTCGTCTGTAAGTCCTTGTTACATTGAAGAGCCCTGTAGCTTGAGTTAGGCTGTGCTGTCACATCGAAGTACACCTGGAAAGAAGCAGCAGATACAGGAGGGAAAAGAAATAAGCATGTAGTCTCGATGACCCCTTCAGAAACTATCTCCACTAAAGAAAAGAAAGACAAGTTAGATGAAGATGGGAGATGTGGGAACATTACAAAACACCAACTATGAGGAAGAGACTGGGAACAGACTTTGCTTGTGAACTGGAACACTAACAACTGCCCTTTCACTTCACCACAGTTAATGAAGATCTTTGTCATTGCAATATTTGTCAAAACGAGCACATATCTGCACAGTTAATATACACATACATACGTATTTAAACAAAAGATGCTGAATGGTAAATCATGCCAACATACTGCAATTCCTATAAACAGAAGTTAAATAACTCTGTTTAAGAATTCTAACTTCAGGTTGATGAGCCTTTAAAAGACAGACTTTCAAGTTGCTATTATAAAAATACTGAAACCTTATGAAGACATGCAAGTAGACACAGCTACATACAGTTCATTATAGCTTATATGAATTTATGTGTTGAAAAAAAAAAAAAAAAAAAAAAAAAGAGTATAAAAGACAAACAAACTTACTCCACCTGTGCTTTTCTTAAGTGCTGGCAGACTGTTATTCCAAACAAGTAGGAATTCCTGAAGAACTTCTATCCAAAACTATGCATAGGCCATCAAAGACCTTACAACACACACAGTTTTCATGACTCACTATGTGTTCACTATTTCCCCATTCTATTTCCTTGCTCTTCCCACCCAGACTCCCCCAGTATGATGCAAGGCCACACAGCTCCTTGATCTAAGGAGATCAGCTGAAGCGGAACCCACCATTAAGCTTTTTTTTTTAAAAAAAAAAAAGAAGAAAAAAAGAGAGATTGAACTTGAAAAAATATTCAAACCATAGAAGACAAAATATGGAATGGCAATCTATCTATCAATCTATCACTTCTACAATATGGGATAAGAAATAAAATGATCCAATTCAGCATTACCACATGGTATATATCCTTCTTCGTCAAAAAGCTATGCACTCTGAATTGAAGTAGTAGCTGGATGCTTAAGCCTATGTTTAAAATAAATATGACCTTAATATGCTTCCTTCCAGTCAGGAATTACGCTTATGCACATACATTCATTAGACATTCTGTGCAGATCTTAAGCCATTGCATGCTTCACAGAAAGCAAGAACATGGAATATGTATGTTTGAACACTTCAGCACTGTTTGCTGTAATTAAGCCTGCCTCTTTATGAAAGAAAGATCATCAAAGTGTACCAGGGAAAAAAAGTAAGCCTCTAGGGCACGGTTTGTGATCGTCCTTCATGGGAATCCCTCCCACACCAATCTGGGTAGACATTATATCTCACTTATAGAAAAAGTGACACAGGATCCAGCTAGAGTTACCTCACCATCTCTGATTCATAATTATCCAAACAACAAGCCTACCTACCCACAAGGAAAGGATTCCTTCTGACTGCACACTGTTAATGTGACATGGCAAGACTCATGGATGACGATCTCACGTAAGATACTTGTTAGGACTGTTTTGATTTTTTTTTGTAAACTTTTAAATAGTCAATAAATTTTCTATATAGCAGATTCTGCTCAAAATGTCAAGTGCTGGGCTGCACATATCACACATATTCTGAATGAAATTTTAGGAAAAAACAAAAACCTTCCAGCTAACAGCTGATAGATGAAATCATTCCACTCATGCTTTCTAGACCTATAATGCAATTAGAAGAAGTTTTCCTAAAATTGGAAGAAGCTTTCCTAGCTCTTTACCTAGTGCAACAACTTAACAGCAAACAAGTTCAGTAACTCACGTTGCCAGTTTCTTAAGAATACAAAGAGCAGCAGTAACATCTGTAAGGCTCCTTTTTTTCAGATGCAGAAGTGGCAGACTTTCAAGTTAAGTTCTTAATTCATAATGATTACTGTAGAAAATACATAATAAAGAAAACCTGGGAAGCAACATAATAGGACTTGCAATGAAGTAGGGAAGCAGCAAGAAGAAGACTGTCAGCATGGTTAATACCGCATACCTGCAGAGCTGGTAAACCAGAATGACCTAAGGCTAGATGAGCTCTGATCCTTCAAATTTTCAACATCAAAAACACATTCACCACTTTGTCTCAAAAGCAAATGAACAAAAGAGAGAGAGTGTTACAATCAAGCCATATTACAAATTAAAACAGAACAGAACAAAGTTCATCACATATTTCATAATTAAGCTGTTTGTGCTTTATTCCTCAGCAACAGTTTTGTGCAGCAAATACTGATTCTTTCAGATGTCGCTGCAATGGAAAGCCAGCAATGTTTTCCCATTTTTGCAGCCAAGGACCTGACTCAGCACATCTGCAGCCACTTGCTACATTCCCAGTCTTTTATACTGGCTCTACTACACAGTCTTATGCCTTCTAATAGGTTAACCAAAAGGATCATCTCATGGTAAAAAAGCAGAAAGTGGGAAGAAAAGACATATTTAAACGTGTTTGCAAAAGGAATTGATATACTGTACTTTGTCCAAGACAATATTTGTGGAAAAAAGGAAAAAAAAATCAGTCTTTTTTTCCTAAATGAAAAGATGCGTACATTTTCTGAAATTCAAAATGCTATGACAAATAATAAAACTCAAAATTTTTTTTCAGAGGTGACTTTTTGCTTTCTTTTCCTTATAGGAGCACAGATCGTATTGTAAGAAAAACAAAACAAAACAAATCCATCCGTACACCTGCTGGACTTCAGAAATTCTAATAGAAGGCGGCACCTTACTGTAAGATACATTAGTAACAATATTATCCAAGAGAAAACAAGTGTTTTTATCTTGCTGTTTTAAAAAGTGAGTTTGAAAGAATGAACACATTTAACTTCTTATGCAATAGTAAAAATTTTAATACTTACTGCGTAGGAGCCTATGAGAAACGCAGCATTTGCTTGCTTTTTTCGATCAAAGCCAGTATAATGAATTATTTTCTTCTTTATCAATGAAAATGACTGTATCAAGAAATGAAGAATATTATAATTCTGCTGTTTAAATGTTTCATGTCTCCTCTTCTAAAATTAGAAGAATGCAAGGCTCAGTTCATTTCCTTTCAACCATTTGTATTGAGAAGACAGAATACATTGAAGACAAATCCCTCAGAAGCTTCAGAAGAGTCTACTGTACCTCCACCTAGATTATTCCAAGAATTTTCACAGTATCTAACCTAAATAATTTTACAAAATTACACTAACTTACACAGATTACATGATTTTTTCTTTTTCTCCTTGAATGTGTTTAATATTTCTGACTTCAAGTCCCATGCAATAGATATCTATCTATGTGAAGTAAATACGTAACATGGCAGTAAATATATTACATTCTCAAAACCATCACAGATAAGTTAAAGTCCCAACAGCACTAAAAACATAGTTGAGGTGTTTTTTCAAAAAAAAATCTTGATACTAAGATTTCTACTAATAGTTGCTTCTAAAATATCTCTGGATCTGGAAAATATAGACTTAAACAAAAAAATTTTGAAAACCTTTTTAATTCTTATGAGTAACGACGTCTTAAAATTTCATCTAAGTGCTTTACATATTGTTTATCTGATTATCTTAGGAAGAAGGTGGAATAGCAATGCCAATAGGAAGGACACATCTCTGTAACGGCAGCAAAAACTACCCCCTACACTATAAAGGCAGCAACTCTTCACCGCAGTGGCCCCGGGCAAGCATCCAGTCCTCAGCAACAACCAAACCATCAGTGCGCTGTTAACACTGTGTAGGCTGAAAGCAAGGCATAAGGAGCGTAGTGTTGACTCAAGTGATAGCAAATAACCACATATATTTTGACACATCGGATGAACACGGTGCTCTGAACAGACAGTAATACGCAGGTGTGCTTTCCAGTTCAATATAGGAATTTGAAAATAGGTTTCAAGATTGAAAAAAAAAAAAAAAAAACTGATTTATGTTTGCAACATAATTTTCAGCTGATATAAACACCCCACCTGCAAATTTTCAGATTGAATGCATAGAGTTGCAATCAGATATTCAACTAAAAAATCTGATCACATCTCTTAGCCAGACTTTTACACGCTTTCTTTTATAAGAGGAATATCCTTCGCTTCACAACCATACCTTCATACCTCATATCATCACTTTTTGGCAGTGCACATATTTGTGAACAATTGTGAATGATTACTGAATTATTACCAGAAGAGCAAAATTTAATCAGAAATCTCTGATGAACACCTTGTGAGCTCACTAAGAATTGCAACCACTGTCATCAAACCAGACTGATCCAACAATCACAATAAGGGTCACACATCCCATCAGTTTTATTATTTTGTTCCACTGCTTTTTTAATGTTTTAAGAAAAAAATTAAAAATTAAAATTTTTGTTACTTATAAATAAACAATACTGTAGGCATTACTTTCAGAGCAGGTTATTCATATGTAGCCCAAGATAATTTCTCTGTACTTAATGCAGCCCAGGCAAGCCAAAGTCTAAGACATCCATGCTGTGAACAGAAGAGAATCTTGTCTCAGGTAAACCTTATCTCTACAGTGACAATATGAGATGGATTTATGAAAACTGATGCCAGTGACAGACACTAATACCCTCTGCAAAACAAAATAAAACAAAAACAAACAAACAAAAAAGAACAAAACCACACTTCAACTTTCTTAAACTACTATGTTCCGCATGCTTTCCAATTTTCATAGTTCAATAGTCACAGCTTTTAAGATCTAAGCAGTTTTGAAAAGGCAAACTGTGTTCACATTAACGCTAATGAGACTTTTATCTGCCTAACAGGTTTTATAGTTCAACTTCTTGAGGCAGAGGTCAACTAACTTGAAGTCATTGATTTCATCAGTACAGGAACTCTCTATTTTAAAGACACTGTTTTCTATAAAGAATTGAATTACCTGAATTACTAAGCACCCATGACAACAGCACGTGCATGACAACTCTTCTCTAGGCCACAAATCAAATATCAAAAATCAAATACTGTTTCTTACAGAAGAGATGTCAGTACCAGTAGAGGAATATAAGTTAAAAAAAAAATCCACCATTACAAATCTAACTGAGTCTGTACTCATTCAGCAACTCATCTTCTAGGAGCTTAATATTAGTCACTGTCACTAGAGCAAATTTTAAAGGCAAGTGGCTTTTCTCCTTCCTAAATGCAAGTAAAGGAATTTTGCATACATTTTCAAAACTTAGCCTTATTAGGAATATATGAAAGCACCTTAACAAAAGAAACTTCTGGCCCATTTGCTTTTGTTCTTTACAAAGACGTGAAAATTGAATAATAAAACAAGCATTACCTTTAATTTCTTGTTTAGTTTGCAGCAGTATTTGTAGATCATTGCCAGATTTAGTGGTCCAAAATCTCTATAGAAGCTAGTAAGAGAAAGGGTAAAAACATTTATTTATTTATTTTAATTCAGATAGTTTAAGCTAGATGCACAAAGCAAGAAGTAGTAATATACATATGAATCATTCTGAGCACATAAGTCTTCTTACATATGTACTATTTTAACTGGAACAACAGCTGTTTCATGTTTTCCACACACCATCACACAAGGTAGAATACTCAAGATTTGAAAAATTCAATCACTCCGTGACACCAGTCTAGAAACCCTGTTTTAAAAGCAACCCAAATGCCTGGCTTCAAAAGAAGGCAATGAAAAGTAATTCAAATATTTTGGGAATATGTTTGTCTAGATATACCTATTGTTCTTGTACATTTTATGGTAAATTACCTCAATTAATTGAAGATACAGTATGCACTACTGCTAAAGAAAAGCAAACACAGAGAATAAATATTGATCAGCCCTTTTAAAAACAGTATGTTTTTGGTTAAAAACAATTCAAGAATTAATAGCATTCCAGACTGCATACAAAGACATATGCTGCTCACTACCCAGCTCATAAAAGCTTGAGTCAGTTTTGTCAGCTTTTTCACTAATTCCAGGAAGTTTAGACTCTCCACTTAATACTTTGGTGACTAAAGACATCCCTTTCTGCTCAATGGCTGAATGTAGATTTAGGAGTATACGCTGCTGCAACATGTTCCAGTGTCTTCTAACAAGCTGGGGTATAATGAAAGCTCTGAAAAGATTTTTAAGAAATCCTGATGGGAAGCAAAGAAACCATTCTAAGCCTTATAAACAATTATGGCGAGTAAGTCTGAGTCTGACAGACACATATTATTAGCTCTGTAATGGGAATAGTATGTTTCCCTCAGCTACATTTAAACACAGGACATCAATTAGACTGGTTTCTCATTTTTGTCATTCTGACTGATTTATTGTAATAATTGTAAAAAAAAAAGAGAAAAAAGAGAAAGAGAAAAAGGAAAGAAAAAAGAAACATAAAAAGGAAACAAAAAAGGAAGAAACAAAAAAAAAGAGGAAGAAACAACAAAAAAAAGAAACAAAAAAAAAAGGAGGAAACAAAAAAAAAAGGAAGAAACAAAAAAAAAAAGGAAGAAACAAAAAAAAGGAAGAAACAAAAAAAAAAAAAAAGGAAGAAAAAAAAAGGAAAAAGAAAGTCTATACTTACTTTGCATACACAAGTTCATTGTCTACGCAGAAATAATGGGTATCTGCAGCTCCACTCTTTGGTTTTTGGCAGAGAATTGCGAAAAAAAGGCGATCTGAAAGGCAGGAAAACATAGCTTTCACAAACACCCTATTTTTCTGCAGCACGCCCGCCGGCAGTACAACAGCTTCCTCCTGCCTCGTCAGGTGGCAGCGACACGGCTTCGAGCTCGCAGCCCTCCATAGGCCGCCAGTGCAGGACACTGACAGAAGGGCTGGACCGGCTCCTCTTCCAGGTAACGCAGGACAGGCCGCACCGGGGCCCTCTGAGCATGGCAGCCACCAGCTGCAGCTTAAGCGCGCGGCAAACGTCTCGAACCGAGCTGGGGCGCGGCATTTCCAAGAGGAGCGCCAGAGCCTAGCCGGCCCCCGCCATTCATCCCGCTGGGGACACCCGGAGCCTACGCTGTTTTGGCGCTCCTTGCTGAACTAGTTAAGGCCACTCTCGGTATTCACATTGAAACAAAACAAAACACCAAAACAAAACTCTCTCGAAGGGCAGCTGCAGCCGCAGTGAACTTTAAACACGAACTGTGCTGTGGCAGTAAATTGCTGCACCTTTAGTTACTGATCAATAAAAACAGGCCTTGCAATAGCACAGCCATACTTCTGTTTTTGCTGCTGGGGAGGAAAAATATATAAAAAAAATACGTATATTTATTTATTATATATATTAATACACATGGAAAGCAAAATTCAAAACCTAAAAGATTGTTTTGCACTAGTCTCCTAGAATGAATACATTTACTTAAATATCTGAACATCACCTATGTATAAGCACAGAAGCATATATAAAGATCAATATCTCCTCTTCCTGAGAGCAGAAAAAAATCACTTCTGTTTCAAACGAAAATGATTAGCACTTAGGAGTCATTACTTATACGTTACAGAGGAAAAGACAGGGAGCCCCAGAAAAGCATTTGGGACAAAACATCAGGGAGGAGGGAGCCATAGCTCCGTGTGCCTCTCCCCACCACAGATTTCCTTCCCTTGCTGTGTGCAGCTAGGTCTATCATCATCAGAGGCTGCAGAAGGTATACTTGCTCATTCAAAGGAGAAGGGGGAAAAAAAAAAGGGGAGGGGGGAGAGGACAGGCTGCTTTGCTAGTTTTCTCCCCTCTTCCCTGAAAATGAGCACTAATACAGAAAAGGACTGACCATATACAAAGAAGCAAAACTGAGAATGGATAAGATATAATATCTAGGGATTGTGTTTAAACTGGTGTTGCTAGATGAAATCCATCTCAAACTACAGCCCTGAGCTATGATTTCACACTGCTTCTAAAGTGATGTAACAGCTAGCTACCACGAAGTTTATTATAAGGCAAAGTTTTCTGTTGGGTTAGATGGCTGGACACGCCCACAGTGGGCTAGCAGTGTCCAAACACATCCAGTATTCCCACCCCCAGTGGCACCTACTCTTTACACTCACTGTTTTTGACTAGCACTGAGAGCCCTCAGTGCACTCAAACAACACAAACACCGAGGTCTGGACAAAATGGCTGCAGTGCTTGGGCTGGCATGCCACCTTCTTGCATGCCAACTTGTTCACATAAGTTGTACATCACTTTTGAAAATATGAAAGCTCTACAGAAGAAGTAATCCAAATCCTTGAATACTAGAGAAGGAACAAAAAACAAAAAACAAAAAAAAAACAAAAAAAAAAAAAGCAAAGAAATACATTTTCATAGGTCCAAAAACTAAAAATAATGTAGCATTTTATTCAAAGAAATTACTTGGGAGTATATGAATCACTTGCTTCCTCAGTGCACCAGCTTTTACTGAAAATTTTCTGCAGCTTTGCAAAAAGGTCCAACAAAAATAAGAATTCATCTCCTGAGTGAATAGAGAACATGTGGCCTTTTGAATAGCTGTTGGCATTCAATTCCTCATTGGTATCTTTAGATTGCATTAATTGATGCCATTCTAAAACACCTGAAAGAATTTAGCAAGGAGCTCAGGCTTAATAACTGTAGAACCACCTCACAATAAGAGCTGCATATGTCAAATGCCAACACCCTGACAAGCTGTCCTTTCCAGCACCCTACTAACAATTGCTCTCCATTATGTGAGCAGCAGGCTCCATCTTTTTTGAAAATGTTTCCTACGAGGAGATTTTTAGTAATAAGCTGTGCAGAGCAGTCTCTTCCCATAAGCCTATCTGGCTTTCTGGCAGCCTGATAGGATACAAATGGTAACTGCTCACTACATCTATTTTTTATATATTTTTTGCAAATGTATTTCCAGTTCTGTTTACAGCTACAGCGTTACCAAAGATTAGAGTGTTAATTTTTGAACATGAGTAACCAACGCTGTGAAACAAGGATTCCTCCACTACAGATCCAACTGCAGGACTGGCGTCTACACATGAAATACACTGGAACACTGATAAATGCACTTCAGTAGGACTCCACAACAGCTTGGGCTACAGAAGCAAAACTTCCACTGAACTCTTTGTTAACTTTAGCTTTTTAGTACTTCATTTACATATAATCTAATTTAGTACTTCCAGATTCTCACAAATTTCTGATAAAAGGTAATCATAAAATTATCGTAAACTAGAGCAGATCCTTCTAATCATCTCTCAGAAGAATAAGAGCAGAGCTTACTGCCTTGCAGTCTGCATCTGCACTGCAATTAGAACATATGACTGCAGTACATTAGATGTACTTCAATTATGCTTAATTTTGTTTGCTTCAAATAACAAATCAGTTAAAATACAGAAACATGGACAGTTGCTGGCAATTAATTTTAGTAAGCTACTGATGTACAACAAAATAAGTCCGCAGACCTCACCTGAGAGTTGTGATCTCACAGCTTTGCTACTACAAGTACTGAACTAGTGAGATTAAAGCTACAACAAACATCTTTGTTTACAAAAGCCATAATAATCACACATCTGATTCTGTATGATATGCATACAGAAAGAAAAACATTTTGCTTATTTTTCTGCTCTACAGTGCTCCATGGAAGCCTAGGTATAGAACACCAAGAGCTATCATTTCACAACTGTGATCACTGGAAAACAGAGACAACAAAATCTCCTTGCTTTACCTCAGTGAGCCTGATGCTTCTATGGGTCCACTGTGAAGGCCATGAAGAAAGCAATTTCAATAACTTAGGAGGCATCTAAACACCAATCAGGCACTAACTACAGGTAGGACAAGTCTGCATACAAGCAGCAAAGATTATTTCACCAAAAGAAAAACTCAGCACTGCTATTGTTAACCAGATGCCTCAGATGAGAAATTCGGGTAGACTGACAGTATTACAAAATACAATGTCAGCCTGTTTTGAACTATAAGGAATGAAAATAGAGACTTATTTACTATTCTAACAGAACTGCATTTCTAAAGCCAGGGTTAATGCATGGTATTTTGTTACATTAAGAACTCCAAAATAGGAGAAAGACACAAGAGAGAACAAAAAGATAAATTCTGTTGCAATATTAAGATGAGAAGTAAAATTGTATGGTATTTTCCTGTTAGTCATCTTACCCTTGAAAACATTCATTCACTCATCTTTACAAATACGATTCGTATTTAAGCGATAATACAGTTGACAATAACAATAGCTTGGCTTTCTGAAAGAGGAAATGAAGGCACACTAAAAAGTTAAGGAAATTTTTATTTACCATGAAAAAAATATTTTCAGGGCACATCATGATTGATGATTGATGTTTTACTTTACTTGAACAAAGTCCTTGATCTTAGCTGTTCTTGTCCAGTTTATAAGACTACATTACAAGTGTTCACATGATGTCAGCACTGACTTAGATATTAAAAGTTTTACACTTGGCTTTAAAAATCTTTATTTTGAGACAGACCGATGAGGTCATAATGACAAAAGATTAAATACAACTTTTGTACTGAGATGTAGCTGAATAATAGAACTAATTGAGAGTCAGTCAAAATTTCCCCAAATTTTGTTTTTGTAATAAAAAAAAAGAACAAAATTGGTTTTTTCATAACATACAAATTCTATAATGTCAAACCAACAATATGAGAAAAACAAAACAAAATATTTAGTCTCCATAGTCTCCAACAAAAACACACAAGTAAGAGAACAAAAAAAGCCCTCAACCTATCCAGATGCTCTTTTTAAAAATTTCCAAGTGACTGAGGACATTTTTTCTGGAGTTAGTTCCACACTGCAACCAACTGGATACCCACTGAACAAGAGGACAAACAAACATCTGTGAAGATTCCCCGTGGTGTTCTATCAGTTAAGATTTAATTCCTTGTTTCATTATTGTAGTTACTTCATTTTGGAATTAACTGCTGGAGGGAAGCGAGAGAAAAACATGCACCATTTGTGCAAAGTTTATGCCTTATTATTGTACACTTTCATTAAAATGTTATTTATAAAATCAGAGCAATGACAACCTGACAATGAAGGGAAGTAATGAGTTTTTAAGCTTCTCACAGAACAGTTACATTTCCTTTAGATCATATAAATTATTTCTTTCAGAGATCTGAAGAATATGGGAATATGCTTCCAGTAAACAGAAGAAATATATTCAGAACCAGAAAATAGAATTCATACCATCCAGACTCACACATTAGTTGACAAAGTGGTAAGATTTATTGTGCAGCTTAACAGACCAAAATAAACAGTTTTCCAGAAGCAGAGATTCCCTGAACTACACTTAATAGCAAACAAAAATATTTAGATTGATAAGTGCAATTCAATAAGAAATAAAGAAACACAATAATTGTGTTGAGTATGATATCTATGCATAATAAAGCATTACCAACTCTGTTACGTATCAATGTAACGTCAGGCAAGACAAAATCTATACATTTTTATAGCTATTTGGGATGGTTTGTGCTGTTGTCTTCTTCCACAAAGATGAAAATGAGAGTAGCCTGAAATGTTCTTGATGAGTTCAGGGCTATTTTGTAAGCAGAGAAGGTAATGCTAGTATTTAGTCTCCATGGTCACTAGAATATTCTCCATTATGTCCAAGTGCAAGAGTGAGGCCTGATACTTTAATCTGCTTCCAGTCCAGAACTACTAATTCACTTCTTGGAACTGCATTATGAGAAGGCAGAACTGACAGTCCAAAACCTGAAATAACTTTTAAAGCAGTCAAAGGAAAAGGTGAGCCTGTGGGCTCATTCTCTCTCAGGGTTTCTCTATTGGGAAAAAAAAAAAAAAAAAAACCAAATGTGTCATACCAATGCAATGAAGATTAGGCTGTAACTGTTCCATTATTAGAAGCTTGTAAACAGCAGCCATGATGAGCAGCATGAAAATAAGGGAACATGAATTACTGTTGAATACAAGAACCTAGTGCATTTTAATTGAGTTTGTTATGCTGTGTACTGATGTGCATGCTGAGCTCCCATTGAAAAACACAAGTCAAATCCTAGGTGATGTGCCGCACTATTCAAACAAGCGAGCATTTCCTCGGAAGAGAAAACTCAGTAAAGTGAGAGACCTGGTCGGTGCAGGAGGTGTGCCTTGGCCCCAGACAGATGCTGCCCATGACTGGTCATAACGCTGTCTGTGGGGCTGGGCAGGGCTATACAGCATTCTAGTGTGGGGATGTACTTTGATACCAAAGAGCAACACCTGCCTAATCAGAGGTTTCTACACTGAACCCTAAAATTGTGCTGTACCTGTACAGATAGTTACAGCTAAGAAGCTATGGAAAAATAAAGACTTACAGAATTACAGCTCTGCAAATAAACACGCCATGATGTCCCTGTGTAGACTGGACTCCCCAAAAATATAGTTTAGGCAGGAGTATTCCAGTTTTATTCCATAGGTCTATTAGAGCATTTTAAAATGAGGATTCTGTTACACTTTGGGAATTTACATTCTTCCTACATCACTATGCCTGGTTTCCAAAACACTGACAGAATCTTAGGATTTTCTAAACACACTGCTATTTGGAACACACAGCTGTTAAAATACTGTTGCTTCTCAGCAAGGATGAGATCTGTGCTTTTGTCCACAATTGTTCTCAGTATTCTTGCTGCTCTCTTTACATGCAGTTTCCCATTTGTCTTTTGTAGAAAAGAGATGAGGCTTATTTCTTGTTTTTTTTTTTGTTTGTTTTTGTTTTTGTTTTTTAAAGGGAGTTGTAAATAATGCTATTCCCAAACGTGATACAGCACACAGAAAGTCCATTTCTGTTCCTATATAAATTAAACCCAGACACGTCTCTTGGACGTGGAACTGAGGGAATTGCTTCAGCCGCACCTCCGCGGCTGCCACACGAACATCGGCTGCTGTCGCAATGCCACCACGGGCAACGCATGGGCACCGTGCGGGGCCAAGACAGAACACATCAAGACGGCCCGTACGAGTATTACGTCCACCAGCTGGCACGGAGGGACACCAGCCTCCCAAGCACGCAAAACTAGACTGCTGGGCTGTTTCGCAGATACGCATTTTGTCGGTTTAATTACTCTTTCTCTCCGCTCTGTTCCAAGCCAAGCCCCAGCGTGAGGCACTACTCGGCGCTGCCAAACAAAGTTACTCAGTGCACATTACGTTAATTGTTCCGAAACGCGCCCAGCACCGCCGAACCCGGCACACCCCTGCTCCAGCGCCATCCACTCGAGGACGTCGCGCCCCACTCCCCGCCGCCACCAACTTTCTCCCGGACCAGCCGAGATCGCCTGGCGGGAACACCGGCGCGGCGCTGCAGGAGGCGACGGGAAAGGGGGGCGTCGCCCTGCTTCAGTGTCCCGGCCTCGACTTGCGGCGCCCCGCAGGGCAGCCCGCCCAGCCCCGGCACGCCCCCTCACCGGTGATCTGCACGCAGGTCTCGGGCGCGGCGGTGGAGGGCGTCTGCCGCTGCTCCTCGTCCTGCTCCTCACCCCCCGCCGCCCTCGACGCTGCGCTCCGAGTTCTCTTCAGAGCCGGCGGCGGGCTGGCGCGGCGCCGGGCTTCGGCCCAGCTCTTCCGCTTCATGGCGGAGGCGGCTGCGCCGCTACCGTGCGTGCAAAACGACCCGCTTCGTCCCCGCCGCGTCCCTCCCCGCGGGCCTCGGGTTGCCAGGGGAGGGACCGGCAGCGACGGCTGACGCGTCTCCGTGGACACCGCCCACTCCCGCCGCTTCATGCACCTTCGCCCCCCCGCCCCCGCCGCCTCTGATTGGGTCGGGGCGGTGTGGCGTCACCGGCGCGGAGCGGTGGAGACAGTGATGTCATAGCAGCCTCGGTAACAGGTGGGCTGGCCCGGGCTTGCCGCGGGGCGCTAGGCGGGGCCGCCGACAACCGCCACCATTGGCGCGTATGAGGCGAGTCTGGTAACGTTCCGCCTGCCCGACCCCAGAGCTCCGAACAGGAGAAGTGTCCTCGGCGGAATCTAGCAGTTTGCACAATCTGCTTAGGATTTGGAAAGTTGGAAGAGCTGCGTTTATATCTAACACACAGCAGTGTGTTCCACTACAGCACGTTTCAGTACACTGAAATAAGTGGAGCACTGCCAGTCCTCCACTGCAATCCGCAGCCCAGATCTTGCCTCGTACAGGGTGAGCAGCCAGCGGATGTCGCCCATGTTTTGCTGCACAACTTTTTAAAGACATTGTTTTTAAATAACAGTAAGGGCCGTAGCTGCCCGTGGCCATTCACTGTGTATGTGGGGCTGGACTCACATGGGCTCTGGCATGCAGTGGGTGCTTGATATATGCAGGGCTGATGTTTTCCTTAAAGCTGTTTTTCTGCTGAGCCTCGTATGGTGTTCTTCCTCTCCTTGGCCCTCATCTTGTGATTCTATCTGAAGGTTTTGCTGGGATAATCAAAAATCACATGGCCTACAAGCACTGAAATGCTGGGATGAGTGGCTTCATGAGCACTGGCAAACAGCAGCTCCAATTGAGCCCTTAGGAGTGCACAGCTGTGTTCAGTTCCTCTATTGAGTTAAAACACCACAACAGAGCTGTTCCACCATGTGCTTTTTAAGTTCCACTGAAAGCAAAAAAGTTCAAGAAATGACAAGACAAGCACTTCCTTTAGAATGGAAAGCACTGGGCAAATGAATGTGAAATGACTGGAAAACCAAAGTGGAACTGGAAGTAGCGTCATGGCTTGTATGGCTGATTGCATGTATCAGCATGGAAGTGCTATGGTGCACGGGTACCCTGTATCCCTTCACTTCCAAGTTTCCACTCTATCCCACTGCCCCATTGTGCTTGTGGCAGTGCTGGGTCTGTGGGAAGCTGCTGTGAGCTCAGGTTGGGTGCTGCTGGCTTGGGCTCAGGGTCACATGGTACTTTCACATTAACAGCATCCTTCTCTTACACATCTGCTACCAAAATGTGTAATTAATACGGCTAATGGATAGTACCTCCTCATGTAATTGCATTACTCAACATCATTATTTTTCTTAAACCTTTTATTTTTCATCAAGGAGCATTGCATCAATTTCACTTGAGCTTAATGGTGTAGAGCTCCCAAAAGTTTGTGCTGGGCATGACAACGGCCCGAATGGACACAATGACAAGCCTTTTAATTTTACATAGGCTTTATTCTTGTGGTACTCCTCAGGCTGAAGACTGGTCAGATTCTGCAGAAGAGTTGTACATTAATAACAGCAACTTATAGGAATGGTCAAAGATCAGGAGCTTCAGAGGGGCTACATTCCTCAATAAATCCTGGAAAAGCTAATTTTGAAAGTGGCTCATGCCTCAAAAGAGAGCAAAGTCTGCTCTATTTTAAATTTAAAAAATTATTGAAAGCAATAGACTCTGAACATAAACTCTTATAGAAAAAGTTGCTACAAAATCTAACAACCACAATCTACGATGTCCTCACCTCAGCTGTCTATGACAGAACAACTAAGGATTTTTTTTTCAGATATACATAAGGTATTTTCTGCTGCAAAAATTAACAGGAAAACAGGTAAGCAGCTGTGGCCTATTCCAAAACCAACTATCTGATCACAAATACATTTCAGACACAACCCTCCCTGTTTCAACAGATCCACCTTTTTGTATGACTTTTGTATGACACAAAGTAATTTCAAACAGCAGCTGATAATTTTAAAATATCTTATTCAAAAATAGAAAATAAACATCTCTGCTCTTGCCAGATGCAAAAGTACATGACAGCTTAAGTCCCATTGTTTAGAACCATGATTTTTTGAAGCTTATTTTTTTATACAACATTGACACACAATGCTGGAGGTTTTAAAGCCTTTGAAAAGTTTTGGATTTAAATGCAATTTAGTTTACTGAAAGGCAAGAAACTGAAGTTCTTCCTGAGCAAAAGCATTTTAGTTCAGTGCATTCTGAACAAAGATTTAAAATGTGCTAGCAAGATTGTTATATGAGAAAGCAGTAAGACACAAAAATTTTTTGCAATAGGTCTCAGTTGTATTTTAGTTTTTATTATCTTATATACAACGGAAGCAGTATTTTAGACCGTCTTCAGTGTCATGTAGTTTATTCTGTGCTCTGGTCTTCCAGACATAGTTTCAGATATGCTATAAAGATGAAGAGTACTGAAGCTGTTGGGAATTCATTGGAGTGTCATTCTTGTGGAGCATAAAAAAAAAATGACACACTGCCTAAGTGTCATATGTCAATAATCTGGGGTTTGTTTGTGAAATTTACTGTTTTAACTCCTGCCAGTTGCAAAACTGAATTAATGGGAACATGATCCAATCTGTTTCTATCATGATGCAAAAAATGAACTTCATTACCTGAAAGGAAATGAGAATAAACAGGCAATTAGTTGAATACAGTACTTATTGAAAAGTATAAGTGAATGAAAGAAGCATTGTGGTTTCCTACGAGCTCTTACGTATCTTGTAGACTGCACAGTAAATCCTATTTTAAATTATGACATGGATTTTTTCTTTTTAATTAAGTTGTAGAAACAAGGGGCATTGAAGCATCTAAATGAATTAAATCTGCTGAAGAATAGCAAGTCCTAATGACATGAGATGGCTTTGTCATGTGGTAGCCACTGTACAAACACACTAAATGCCTCAAATCAAATTGAAAGCAGAATGAGTTAATATCACTCAGAAATACCTTCTGAACTTCAAGCCATCAGCAGCGCTACTGATTTTTATAGGACAGAGGTCAGCTTTGTGCTGACCCTGCCAAAGGTGAGGCTGCACAATGACACCTCCATGAGTTCACTGTGCTAGCAGAACTGCAGAGACAGCACAGGATTGTTCTCCTTACATCTCCACACGGACAGCAGCAGAGATGGTAGCACTAAAGCAAACAACAAAAGGAGTAGCCTGTCACTTTTAGACAACAAGAATGAGATTACCTGGGCCTAAAATCAGAGCTCCTCCCTGTTGTGCAGGGTCTCCTTGGAAGTCAAAAGCTGGGCTAGTCATTGCTCTCCACATACTTCTAATACTGCCCAAGAGCATGCCTGATTTTACATGAGGGCTCTGCACTAAACAAAACAGCAAGGAACTTGTCACATAGACGTACAAAAGTACATAACAACAAAATCAAATGGTTGCTGTGATTACTGAAGAAACCAGTGCTTTGACAAGATGCAGCCTACCAGAGATAGGTTAAGCTTCCTACGCCCATTATGATCATGCTATTATTTTCTAAGCATTCTTGTTCTTTAAGTCATATCAGTGAGAAAATTATTCTTACCTGATACGTCATTACCTTCACCTCTTTTCATGCCAAGCATTTTATAAATTTCCCTTTGTGGATCTACATACATTTCATGTGTATACCCAGTTAAACTGCAAAAGGGCTACAAAATATGAACATAAAAGAAAGTGATATTTTTAAGGTCAAGAAAGTAATTTAGTTAGAAAAAAAAAAAAAAGAAAAAAAAAAAACGGAAATACACTTCAATTTTAAAAACTGTGACTTTGTAATGCTAAATGAAAGTAAAGGCCAAAAAATTTTAGCCCTACAGCTTTTACTAAAACAAAGTTTCCATTGAAATCAGGAAAAGATCTTCCCTTAACAAGTCTCAGTGGATTTTAAACTGAAAGCTTTAGTTATTTGCCTTATTCAAGCATTACTATTAGAATTGCTTCATCAGAAAGAATACTGGCCTGATTTTCTGTGGCTGCTAAGGACTGTCTTTTCACTCTGAGGAAAATCTCTCAATGCAGATCATTAAGATCATTAAGACACTATAAAGCGTACAGTTTATTTAATGACTACCTTATTTACCTTGATGTGATGATAAGATGACTGTCCAATAACTATGAGCCTCACATTTGCTTCCTAGAACAAATCACAGGTATTGATACTGAAAAGGAGGAACTCTGTGCTTCTGCATAGCTGCAACACATTGGCATTTTGATGTTGTAAGATAATGATCATGGTGTACTGCATTAAAATTATTCAAAATTAATGTCACTGGCATCATACTTGGAGCAAAATGCTGTTATCTGTCATCCACAATTAGTAGCTACATTAACTTATTAAGCAGTAAATTACTTTTATAAGGTAATTTAAGTTACAGGTATGTGAACAATACACTTTTGGTAGCATTAATAGCATCATCTTTCCTACTGAATGCAACCTGTTCACGATCTTAGAAACGCAAAATTTCACCACAGTTGCACCTGCATATATGGACGGAGCATGCAAATATTGGCACACAAGCAAGTTTATCTGTGATTTCCATATACTAATGGCCCTTAGTATATATAACTTCAATCAGTGTGTTGTGCTGTCTTTTGCAGTTGCACCCTTAGGCCTGAGTATAAAACACAAGCCTTGTTTGTTTAAATGTCAGGAGAAATAATGCTGCTGCTACAAGGTATGCCATGCAATAACTCCCTTCATAAGTCTCCTTGGCAGATTCATTATGGCAACTGGAGAAACCAAGCAAACATTAAGTTTACTGTGAGCATTCCTTTGATTCCTGGAAGGTTTAAGTCTGCAGCAGGACATAATGGAGCTGACTGTAAAGCACGTACAGGGGTGTGGCACCTACTTGTAAGTAACTCCTGGGGACTTTTGCCAGGTCTTCTACATACTCCTTACAGGTATAACACAAGAAATTCTGCAACAGATGAACATGTAAGAAACAGACATTACTGCACAGCAGTGAAGAAACATTTTGACTTCAGGCATGAACTAGTTTGGAGGTGACTGGGAAATGGGCATGGGAAAGAATGAAGTTCACTGCAGTCACA